AATGATTCTACATAGAGTATTGGCCATGACTATTTGGTAAGATTTTTGAATGAGTGATGGAGACTAAAAAGGATGTGTGTATTTCCTGCAAACAATGGTTTTATATTCACTGATATTATATGGCACTTACATAACTAATTAAATTATTGGACTCATCCAAATCTTTTTGATGTGACTAAACAAATATATACTAATTCATGATATAATAGCTTCTGATTTGAATCACCACTGATTTGAGAGTAGGCCTTCTGTATACAAGCTTAAACTTGGCACTTTATGCAAAAATTATTATGTAAATTTTATTGCCATGGATACATACTTATCACATAAGGATAAAGTATTAGATTAGGACTTCCCACCTTTCCAAGTCTTTGGACTTTGAAGTCTTTGCATAGGAGGCAAAAGCATCCATTTTAGATTTACTCAAGTTTCATCATAAATAGCTGCTTAACTCCTAGGTCTGCTTCTGAGGAAAACAGAATAGAAAGCAAAACAGCAGCAGAAGTAAAAAGCAGAGGGAGAAACCCTTTTACAGAAGTTGATTATACCTTTTTTTTGGTTTGGGGAGGGGTATATCCCCAACACAAGTAAAATGATCCATTGCAATTTAATAAAGAAAAATGGTTGATAGGACTTTTCATAAAGGGTTGCTTTTTTTTTAAGAGTAAACAGGTCTATTTTTTAAAAAATCAGCGCATATTCTACAGCACAACTGAAAAACAACCAGTCTCCTAACAAACATACAATTCCTTGTCAAATTCCCTAGAAGGTTATTAGTTTCATTACAAAAGTATTCTGAAAAATTTGCATACTGCTTAGGACACCAAAATATATGTGAAGGTCTCACTTAGCTGTGAAAATAATTTCACTGAAGCCCAACAACTTGGTTTCCAATGGATCAATTGCTGTAACTCCAAGTCTATGGAGGAAAAGTGGAAATGATCTTCTGGAAGACCTTGGTTAAGACCATGTGCCGTGCTCTGCAAGTAACTGAATGTGATTTCCTGTATTTGAAATTGAACTCTAGGGGTAAGCTGGTGTACTATACAGTACACTTTGACACCCAGCAGTATCTCTGCCTGAGTTTCTTGATATAATTTCTGGGCCAATGGTTGATGGTCCTGGACTGATGGTGTTAAGAGATTTCAGCCTTATTGCTCTGGCAATGAAAACAGGAGTAGCTCAGGATTTCATGGTCTCATCCCAACCAGGGACTTACCTGAAGTGGTACCTGCCTGAACCCATACATGTAGCCATACATTAGAGCTAGATTTCATTTCAGAGCAGTTTGTTTGTTTATATTTCAAATTTGTCACCTCTCATCTCACTACAGAGCGACTCTGGGCGGTCAGTTGGTTTGTGATCCATTACACTGGTCATTTGTCATAATCAGATAAAGATAAAATATTTCAGTTCAGTCAAGAACTAAACCAGATATATCTCATGATAGAATAAGAGTTTATCAGGTTTTTCTCAATAATAGATCCCCAAAAACCTTTTAATGGACATAGTTCACTATATACTACACCAGTCTACCTTAATCTAGAGAAAACTCATACCTAAAATCTGAAAATATGCTAAGTTTAGATTTTTCTGCATTTTTTTTCCTTTATCACACACATTTTTATGTTGCCTGATTACAGCCTACTTTCTTGAAAAGAAATAAAGAAATATAATATTTTCAAAGTCTTTACATGAGGCCATACAAAGAAGCTTTTTAGACTGCAAAATTCACTTCCTTTCATTATTAACCTCAGTATCAGACAATGTCTGGTTTTAACAGTATGTAATTTCACTTCAGTTTTAAATGTGTTACAGTTTTTGGGTTGGTTTTCTATTTGACTTCAATAGTTTTATTTATTTTCTACCAGACTTCAGTGGTTTTATTTATTTGTGTTAAGTGTTTTAGGGAAAAGGAAAGTATTAAGTTTCATTAAATAAATTAATACATACCTACTCTGTTGGGTGCTGACTTAGATATGTTTCAGATTGACGATTTGATGTGATTAATTAGTCCCACTGATTTCAATGAGTCTACTCTAAGTCTACTCTCTACTCTTTGTGTAAGACTAAATCTCTTGCAGTTTTGTATACTGCATTATTCTATATTATTTAGAAGAGCACTGAGAATTTGCCTTTATTATTTTCTGTCTTGCATAATACAAGGAAACTTTTAAAAAGCATTAAGTGATAATCTCCAACTTGAAATATTAAAAGAAACTATTACTTAAATCAATGGGACAAGTATGTACTTAAACAACTTATTCAGAAAAAGATATACATATAACTCCACTTAATATTTAAACACTGACAGGGGATGAAAGCTCAAAACTACAAGTTTCACTAACAATATACCCATCAACACAGAGACAAACGTAAAGATCAGTTAATAAAGTTCATGTAGTATCAGAGATATTATTTTATAAAAAGCAGTGCAAAATTCTAGCAGCCTCAAATGTGACTATTCCCACCAAATTCATAGCTCTTGCAAACATTTGTGAAGAATATAATATTGATTGGCTGTGAGCAACTATCTAGTCATAACTCTCTAAAAAAGTCTTTGTTTTTATCTGACATATTTCTGTCCTTTCCAGTGACTTCGACATTGCCCATTTAAGCATAGCTTGGAATCTTAAAAAACAACAAATTTCATCAGGAAGAAAATAGGCAATTTTTTACTATAGTAACTTACAAACATCTAAGCAGATATAGAAGTTGATAGCAAAGAGAAAGAGTACTTGAGGTAGACAAAGAACAGTAGACTAACAGAACCTTCTTCAGAGGTCTGAAGATTTACCATAAATTTTCAGCTACTCAAATAGATCCAGTAGAAGACAAGAAGACATCAAACTGGTGCTGAAATCATAATGTCAACTCACATATAACATGAATTGCATACTTGTGCCATTTGCATAATGATATCATGATGCATTCAGTGTCACTTGCTCCTTTGGCCCTCCCTCATGGATGGTACAGTTTAATGATATTGACAGTTGCAATTCAGTAACACCTGAAAGACAAAGATTCCCACCTCTGTCCTATTAGTTTCAGTCAGAATTGACTGAACTGCCAGTATTCATTAATTCAGTCACACCCATCTGTATTCATGTACAACCTTAACTTTAATCCTTTTTCATTCACCATTTTCCAGACCTATTATTGAAATGTAGATACTTGCTGCAGCCTAGCTCACAGTGACCTTTTGAGATTTAATTAATATTGGAAGTATGTAATGTGAGATTCTCAGGTGAAGAAACTATGGGACTTCTAAATTGCATCAATATTTCATGCTTTCTGCATTGAGATTCCAATCTTGGTTGGCATAATCATTCCAGCTAATTCAACCTAACAGCTCATTTCCATAAGCATCCTCAGAAAAGCTTCAATGGTGGGTTTTTATTGTTTCGGTGAAAAATTCTAAGAAACAAAACAATACAAAATAAAATCCTTGCTTAGAAAAACACTGCAAGCAAAGAAAACTTATTAAAAGGTATCAAATTTCAGAGAAAATGGACTCTGATGGGCATCTTGTTGAATGCTTTGATGAGATATCATCTTGGTAGCTTTTCTGCAGCAGTTGCTAGTTCTAGAAAATTATATTTATTTTACAGTAGTGATATTACATCCCCACAGCATACAATATTAGGCTGCAGAAGGTATACAATAATTATTTTAAACAAACAAGCCAACAAATAAATCAGGGTGTTTTAAAATCTGTTACAATGGACCAGTGCAATATGAATAGTCTAATCATGTTATCTCTGATACAGTCAGATTTTAAGATGAATTAAAATTCATTTTAAGACGAATTAAAATTCAGTTCTTCACCAAGGTTATTTCTTGTATGTTTGAACTTTTAAAATCTACTAAACATTTGGTTAGAAATACAATCTGGCTTTTTGGATATTCTGCACAAACAAATAAAGGCACATCTATTCTATTAACAAGGACTTCAAACCCCAAATATAAAAATCTAATTCTTATTTTATGCCACATACATGGTAACATAAATTAAGACATTGTTACTGAAATCCATTACATCTTGGTTTTATATATGCAAAGGGCGCAAACAGGTCAAAATAATCCTTAGTAACATTTTTGACAATTAAATGCATACTATTAAGAAATATTACATAGCATAGTGCACAATATTTAGTGCACAATTTTTCTTTTTTGATTGTGGTCCCATTATCACACAAGGAAATGCCATTTGAACTGGATCATTTAAAAGAAAATAGCAATGATTTCTATAAGTGCTGCATGATAGCAAATTTCTGGGCAAGCAGAAACACCAGGCAATTTAAATCTTCACTGTTATATGCAACCACAAACATTTTCTATGTTACAATGGATGAACTCCAGGCACACAAGTCTGTAATGCATACTATCAAGGATATCATAGTGCTGTCAACAGTTGATGACTTTTGGGTACTCACTTATCCTATGTCCTATATATGTTTTTTTATCTGGGCTACCATATTATAGCTAAAACCACTACTTATTTCAAGCAACAATTTGCCTACAGCACCAATCATCCATGAAGTAGAGAGTCTTCCATACACTCTGAAGTCTTGGGACCAAATAGTTTCATCTCCAACCTAGATGTTTCTTGCAAAATATGCAGTTTTTTCCTTCTTGTCCAATAATTACCTGTCATATTTAGCATGTTAATGGTCACGAGGAAAATCTGGATAGGCACAAAGAGCTTTTGCACTAATGGTACTGCATGGTATATTTCTGTATTTCACTAAGTAAAATTTAGATGCAAAAACGGGAGTAGTGTCCCACATTCAGAAATGCATAAAGACTGGTGATGATCAATTGGTAAATAAATCAGTAGAAGAGAAAAGAAAAATTGTGTCAGTGGATAAGGCAAGATCACTGGACATTTTGATTCTGAAAAGAGTGACAAAACTAATCTGAATTTTCACTACACAGTAATATCACTTTATATCACAATAAAGCAGTATAATCAAGCAAAGTTCACACATTAATCTTACCTTAGCCATCTGAGCTTGCACACCATTTGCTTTAAGAGATGCTACGGCTTTCTGTGCGGCTGCTGGACTATCAAAATCTACAAAACCGTAACCTTTTGAGAGGGGGAAAAAAAGTAGCATTCATTAATATGTATAAAGAACAAACTATTTTACCAAATCTTTTCAATCAACAATGTATTATTTTCAAATTGAATCATGTTCAAACACCAATGGCTACTCCAAGATATTGGGATGAGTTTCAACAGCAACCAGCTGAAATTCTGAGTAAGACCAGAACCTGTTCTATATTAGGTCAGACCAATAAACCACTGAGCCAAACTTTATTGTCTACTCTGGCAGTGATTTTCTGGAGTCTTCAGCAGATAGCTCTCTCTATTCCCTGGCACTTGATCCTTGTAACTGGACATGCCAAAAATGAACTTAGGACCTTTAAAAAGGTAATGGTCACTTCCAGAATACTTATTATCTTTTATGTTTACTTAATGAATATGCCTGTGGGATAACAATGATCGCTCTACAAAACATTGTTATTCTACCAAGCAACTCGTTCCTTTTTTCTCAGCTACAGAAATTGTATTTTTGTTGATCCTGGAACTGGTTTCAAAGGATTTCAACAGAATGATGCAATAGAGAATTATTACACTGAACCTAATTTTGGAATCTTTGTTCCCTTAATATCAGTTCGATGAATATTTTGGAATGCACGCAATGTATCTGTTGGAGAAAGGCCACAGCTTCATCTCTTTCTCCTTGTAATGCTTGTGCAATCTAAAGAGCTGGCATCCACCTGCTCAAAAGCTATAATAGTATTAGTACTACAGTGCTAATAGCTTTAGGCAGACATCTCCATTTACTAGATCAATATGCATTCACACAGAAGGCAATCACAAACATGCTGCTGCATTTAATGCACTTTAATGTTATTAGTATCTCATGCATGTATTAAAAGAGGGAGCAGAGAAACAAATGAATCTAAGTACTCCAATTAATTCCATATATTACATATATCTAAATCCTATTCTAAGAAATTGCCAACGCTATACTTAAGATCATAATTTTCATGTTAAAGATTCCAATCCTGTAAACATTTACTCACATTTAACTCAGTGGGAACTGCTTTAGAATAGAAAATTCTTAGTTGTGCGCTGTAAGACTAAAATTCTAAACACACATATTAAGTGTGTAGCTAAATACATTTATGGAGCTATTTCACCCGTAAGGAAATATGCATAAGAATAAACTATAAATGTAAGTGATAAAAATATAGATAGATAAGCTGCAAGAAAGTAGCAGTAAGAACCAAAGTATCCAAGATTCCAAGTTCCAGAGTGTTTTCCCAGCAGATGTAGACATCAGAGATGTACAGACATGTACAGTGACCAATAAAATCATTATGCCTTCTTCAAATATGTTTTTATTTGTTTATAGTCAATTTAAATTTTTTAATGAATCTGAAAAATCAATCCTACTTTTGGGAAAAAAGATTTGGGGGCAATAGCAGCAGTTCAACTCTAAAGGTTTTTGAAGTGAAACTGTATCTAAATTATTACCATGTCAAACAATGTCTGCTGAGAAACAAACAAGAGTGCAAAACCTTGATTTTCATTAAAACTTCAGTAGCTTTTTATGCCCCCCAAATTCAGCTGTGCTGCCTCATCATGTTGGTGGTGGGTATCCCCGGGAGGGATGAGTGAAAGACATCACAAGTGTATGGCAAGGGTATACATTCCCAGCAAGGTCACCCAAGGCATGAAGGTCATCCCAGCTGCTCAGCTAAATCAAGCAGGGACCTATATTGGGCAGCAGTGATATAGGAAAATGCTGGAGGCAGATGATCACTTTAGTGACAATGGCAAAGGCATCAATTCATACTGTGTGGGAAAAGGCAATGGTAAACCACTCCTGTATTTTTACCAAGAAAACCACATGGACAGAAAATATAACGATTGATGATATAGTGCCAGATGATGGGCTCCTCAGCATGGATGGCACTCAACATGCTACTGAGGAGGAGCTGATGTTGTTATTCAAGAAAAGAAAATCTGAAGCTACAAAACAGAATTACAGTAGGAACATGGAATCTAAGAAGCATGAACACGGGAAAGTTCAACACAGGGAAAGATAAAATGAAATGACTACAAATTGACATCTTAGGCATCAGCAAATTGAGATGGACTTGGATTGGTCACTTTCAGTCAGAAGATCACATTGTTTATTACTCACAATATGAAAAACAAAAAAGGAACAGTGTTGCTTTTATAGTTAGGAAGAGTATAACAAGAACAGTACTTGGCTACAATGCCATCAATGACTGAATATTATTGATTAGACTTCGTGGACAACCCTTTAATATGATGATTATTCAAGTTTATGCACTTATTCAACCACTATGCAGAAGAAGAGGTTTATGAGTTTTATGATCAAGTTCAATTTGAACTTGACAGACCAGGCAAGTAAGATGTACTGCTTGTCACTGGAGACTGGAATTGGAGACTGGAGTTCAGTTATAACATTAAAGACATGGGCAGGTACTGACTGTGGAACACATTACAGAATGCTCATGTGCAAGTTCCAAGTTAAGCTAAAGAAGAAGACGAAGAAAGCCAGTCAGTTTCCACAATATGATCTTGAACATATATCCACAATTTTCAAAGACAACTTTAGGAATTGCTGTGAAGTCCTGAAACTCACTGATAGAGGACCAGAGGAATTATGGAATTGTTAAGGATGAATATGAAAAAATACTGCCAAAAATGAAGAAACAGGAGAAAGCAAACTGGATGTCAGAACAAACTGTGGAAATTGCCAAGAGAAGAGAAGCCAAAACCAAGAAAGACAAAATTTTCAGAAAGTAACTTAACAAAGGGTTTCAGAGAGGTGTTAGAAGAGGCAAGAAGCAGTATTACAACAACATCTGTAAAGACACTGAATGGAAAATCAATGGAAAAACAAGGAAAGTATTTCAAAATATCTCTGAATTTAGAAGAAGGTTCCAACCTTGAGTTGGTACACTAAAGGATATCAATGGACAGAGAGTAACTGATTCAAAAGAGATCAAACTAAGATGGAAGGAATATACTGAAATATTGTACAATATAGATGTCAACATTCAAGATATCTTAGAAGTTATTCTCTACTTACAAGAACCTCTAGTACCAGAAGTTAGATCAGCACTCTGATCATTACCAAGTTGGAAGGCTACAAAAACCAATGGAATACCCACTGAAATATAGCAACCAACAGAAGAAAGATCAGTAAATGTTCTAATCAAGTTATGCCAGAATATCTGGAGATCGAAGCAATGGTCAATAGATTGGAAGAGGTCAATCTACATTCCAATACCAAAAAAAAAAAAAAGGAGACTTAACAGAATGTGCAAGCTATTGGTCAATATCCTTAATTGCACACACTAGCAAAATAATGCTTAGGATCATCCAACACAGATTAGAGCCCTACATGGAAAAGAAATGCCAGCTATTCAATCTGGCTTTAGAAAAGGCCAAGATATAGTGGTGATGAGTGCATCATTAGAAGATCTGAAAGACCATGTGAAGGACAGATCATCATGGACAAAATCTATTTGGCCGCTAAGAGTTGACAACAACTCAATCAATCAGCTTTTTATATTATTAACCATGCTGTACCAGCTCTGCGAGTCGGAAATAGAAGGTACGTTCAATTTCTAGCTTAGTTATGCAAGGGAATGAAAATTCTGCTCAAACCTATGGCAATTCAGATGTGTGATCCCACAATAGTTTAGCTTGCCCCCAGTCAGGTCGAACTGGAATTTGGATGCAGCTATTGGATGCAGCTATGACTCAATCTTATTTCTCTATGTTATCACAGACAGGTGAAGTTATGCAGGCACTGAACATGTGTTTACATTACTGGGATGGATGAATTAATCCTAAGAAAGATGGATTTACAAACACTTTTGCAAATATTTTCTGCACGCAAAATACAGTACGTATGCATAAATTACATGCATAGGACATCCAAAAGGGAATATGTAGTATTTAAATATCAGAAATAATAGTATTCATAAATATAAATATTAATACATTTTGCCTCCCAAAGTATTCAAGGAAAAGGAGGAGGAAATCATAGCAGATACGGAAGTAAAATTATTATCTTAAGGATGAATACCATGACCAAACACATTTTTATATTTACTGATGTATGATTTGCTACTTTTGATTTCAAGAGGAAGTATCTTCCTCCGTTCCAAAATATTCCTTTGCCTGAAAATTTTGAATAAATAACTTTTTTGAGGCAAACTGAAGACACCTTGAAAGTTTAGACTTGAATTAACTATTCTTGTTTCATGTATGCACATCATTCTACATGCATAGGTTTGATATAGTATATGATGGCAATGTGGGGATCTCCTTTATCTATGATTGTCACAGCAATGAAATTGAAAGGGCATGTTGATTCTGAGAGCAATTTTTAATTTCTGTTGCTGCTTTCCTATTCTACTACAAAAGAGGAAGAAGAGATGAGAACAGCAACATGACAGCCTGAAGCTAACCCAATAATATAAACCACAGGTGACTCAGATAAGGCTTTGACCTTCAATTTCACAGCTGCAAAATGAGAATAGTGACCTATCCCACAGAAATTTCACAACAGAATGTAATATAACAGAACCACTAGAGAAAAAATGGTTAGAAAAAAGGAAAATGATATAAAAGGTATTTATGATGAATAACACTGGCTGATCTCTAACTGTGGATCCTTAGATCTAAAGAAACTGAATTGGTTCATTCCCAAGACTTCTCTTATTCTCCAAATCTGCACATTTCATTTTTTGGTCATTTTGGACTATGTTTGGAAGGAACATTTATGAATTATGCTCTTAATAAGACCACTGGCCTGGCCACACAAATAACACAGGGAAATTCAATAAATATTGTATTTTCATGTTTTGATTAACAGCTTTATTTTTTCAACCATATTCTTTTTATTTTACTTTATTTTTCCTTTTTTCTCAGTCTTTTCATACCATGCCACAAAGAAATGAAATTGTTATCCACAAATGTTCCACAGAGAAACAGAATTTTGAATTATTAAGATCACATTTCCCCAAATA